GTTCGAGTCGTCGCCGTCCTCCCTCCTCCCTCGTCGTTGGCGTCGTTGTCGCCGTCGTCGTCCTCCCTCCTTCCTCGTTGTCTTCGTTGGCGACGTCGTCGTCGTCTTCGTCGTCGTCGGCGTCGGCGTCGTTGTCGTCTTCGTCGTCGTCGACGTCGGCGTCGTCGTCGTCGCCGCCGTTGTCGTCGTCGTCGTCGTCGGCGTCGTTGACGTCGTCGTCGTCGGTGTCGTCGTTATCGTCGTCGTCGGCGTCGTCATCGTCGTCGTCGTTGTCATCGTCGTCGTCGTCGGCGTCGGTGTCGTCGTCTTCGTCGTCGGTGTCATCGTCGTCGTTGTCGGCGTAGTCGAAGTCGTTGGAGACGTCGTCGGTGTCGTCGTAGTCGTTTTCGGCGGCGTCGTCATCGTCGTTGTCGCTGTCGTCGTCGGCGCCGCTGTTGTTGCCAAGTGCCATGTGGTACCCACCGTCACGGTCTTAAGAGATTTTGCAAACCAAGTTGCGGGTGGGTGGGTGGGATGTTTGCGCGAGCAGTGGAGTGGACAACTCACTGCGAACAGAAATTAATTCTCCTTTCTAAAAAGAGAATAGACTCTACCCCCTCCCTCCGGACTTATCGCTTGCCCCTGGGATACTATTTTTTCATATATATATATATATATATATACAAGTGGCACGTGTGTGCCCAGGCTCATACAACAAGCTGAAGGGGCGTTTGAAGCAGGAGTGACATGCAACAGCGAAGTCGCACTCGAGCGCAAGTGGGGTTGCCACACCTTGCGATGTGTGTACCAGGGCCCCCCAGGAAGCCTCAGGAGGCCCGACTTGGATACCAGAAGAGGCTCCAGGAGGCCCCAGGATTGTGAGTGTGTGTGTGTGTGATGTGTGCTTTGTGTGGTGCGTGCTTTTTGTGTGTTGTCGGTGTTGTGTGTGTATGTTATGTTTGTCTAGCGTGTGATGTGTTGGGCGTGATTTGTGTCTCTGTGTGTGCATGTAGTTTTGAAGCCCCAGGAGGCCCCAGGAGGCCCCAGGCGGCCTCAGCAGGCCCAGGAGAACTCCAGGAGGCTCCGAGGCGGGGTCTGGGGTACCAGAAGGTCCAGAAAGCCCCAGGAGGCCCCAGGAGGTTCCAGGAGGCCCCCAGGAGGCTCCGAGGAGGGGTCTGGGGCTCGATTTTGGGAGGATGTCTCAGGCGAAACCGCCATTCTCTGAGAATCGGGGTCAAAATTATTGAAATTACAATGTGTTTTTTGAAGGTTTTATGTTAAAATGTTGAAATTCCCATGTGTTTTTGGACCTCTCCTTCACGATCTGCGTGAGGGGTGCCACCGATTTTCAGAATTCCGAGGATGTCCCGAGCGAAACGGCCAGAAAAATCAAAGACGGACGCACGCACGGACGCATTAATCCCCTCTGAGCTCTACTCCCTCGGAGAGGTGCGTATGAGAATATATATATATATATATATATATATATATATATATTCTGCACACTCGTCCATCCTAAATATGAAGTCATATCATCCCAGCCAGGCCGGGTTCCTCCCCCCTGAGGTTCCCTTGTAAAAAAAACTATGCGGTGACATTTTTTGCTCTAACATAACGCTTTTTCACGGATCCCTTGCAACAAATGGGACGAAGTGCACACGCGCGCGTCGTCGCGCGCGCATGCCGAAATCCTTCAAAAACCTTCGGTGCCGGAAAGATTTCGCAATCGAGTTTCCAAAAAACATACAAAAACACCGGGTCTCGCAACACTGATTTGCTAAAAAAGCTTCCGCGCGAGCTCTTGCGAAATCTTAAGAAAACCATAGGTTTTTCAAGATGTTCACAAAATCCTATTAAACGGGCTTCGCGCGCGCGCATGTCGAAATCTGTCGAACGCCCTTGCGCGTGTGCCGTCGCGAGAATCCTCTGCAAAAAATGGCACGAAATGCAGACGCGCGCGTCGTCGCGCGCGTATGCCGAAAACCTTCAAAACCCATCGGTTTCGGAAGGATTTCAAAATCGTGTGTCCAAGAAACATACAAAAACCCAAGGTTTCGCAACACGCATTTTCAACAAAAGCGTGCGCGCGCGCTCTTGCGTCGTCGTCGTCGTCCTCCCTCCTCCCTCGTCGTCGTCGTCGTCGTCGTCGCCGTCGTCGTCTTCTGTCTTTCCTCGTCGGCGTCGTCGTCGTCTTGGCGTCGTCGTCGCTTCCGTCGTCGTTGTCGCCGTGGTCGTCCTCCTCCCTCGTCAGCTTCGTCGGCGTCTGGTCGTTGTCCCTCCTATTTCGTCGCCGTCGTCGTCGTCGTCGTCGTCGTGGTCTTCACTCCTCCCTCGTCGTTATCCTCCTCCCTCGTCGTCGTCGTCCGTCGTCGGCGTCTCGTCGTCGTCCCTCCTATTTCGTCGCCGCCGTCGTCGTCTTCGTCGTCGTTGTCGTCGTCGTCGTCTTCCCTCCTCCCTCGTCGTTATCGTCGTCGGCGTCGCCGTCCTTCCTCCTTCTTCGTCGTTCGCGTCGTCGCCGTCTTCCCTCCTCCATCGTCGTTGTCGTCGTTGTCGCCGTCGTCGTTCCTCCCTCCTCCCTCGTCGTCGTCTTCGTTGGCGACGTCGTCGTCGTCTTCGTCGTCGTCGTCGGCGTCGGCGTCGTCGTCGTCTTCGTCGACGTCGACGTCGGCGGTGTCGTCGTAGTCGGTGTCTGCGGCGCCGTCGTCGTCGTTGTCGCTGTCGTCGTCGGCGTCGGTGTCGTGGCCAAGTGCCATGTGGTACCTACCGTCACGGTCTTGTCTTAAGAAGTCTTGCGACCAAGTTGCGGGTGGGAGGGTGGGATGCTTGCACGAGCAGTAGAGAGGACAGCTTCAAGACGGTCAAAGTGGATTGCACCACATAGATTCCACCACATATATTGCACCGCATGTATTGCATTAGTTACATAGGCTGCGCCGAGTAGATTGCACCACATCGATTGCACAGCATAGATTGCACCGCAGATATTGAATTACATAGGTTGCATCGCATACATTGCACCACATATATTGCACCGCCTAAACTGCAGAACCTACTGTGTGGGGTCCACGCTGGCCAACATCGTCGTATTATTCATCCCCATACTCCTCCCCCATCCTCCTTCCCCCTCCTCCTCCTACTCCCACCTCCTTCTCCTCCCCCTCGTCCTCCTCCTCATCGTCCTCCTCCACTGCCTCATCCTCCTCTTTCTCCTCCTCCTCCCCCTCATCCCCCTGATTCTCATCATTCGCATCCTCCCACATAGCATTCACCAAACATTGAGCTGGAACGTGTTCCGTCAGGTTCCTCGTTCTTCTGCTCGCCCTTATCATCCTCCTCTGCCTTCTGTCCGATCCCCTTCAAAAGAGCCGCGAATTCATATATGGTTCAGTTGGCCTGAGGATCGTTTGTGCAGTGGCTGTTGAGGGTACGCGAAAGGTCAAAAACGTTCTATCTCTGTGATCTAAACACAGAAGCAGTCTCAGGCGGGAGCCACAATTTGATGAACACTCCATCCATCCGTGCAACCGCTGGACATCTCAGGCTTACAGCATCAAAGTGTGCCGGAAGCCTCAGTCCAGGGCCACATGCTAAAAAGGAAGCGCCCTCCACCCGTGCCATTGTTGGCTCCTGCTCCTCTGATCCTCCTCCGACGCGCCCTTTTTTCACTGGCCCGGCGGCGCACTCGAGGTCACCCCCTGGCCCCATTGGGCCGCCCTGGGGCCACCTTGGGCCGACTTGGAGGCCATCGCTATTCCTCCGCTAAAGAAGACGAGGGGTGGGCGGGTGGTGCCCCGCGGCAAGGGCCCTCGCCGCCTGCGCAGGCCAGCGGCGGCTTCGCTCTCAGGATGAAGAAACAAAAAAAAGGCGCTAGCTGCCAGTGCACGGTTTCCCCCGGGGCCGTAGGCGACCCGAGGAGGAGGAGGAGGAGGAGGAGGAGGAGGAGGAGGAGGAGGAGGAGGAGGGGGTGGGGGAGGGGGGGGGGGAGGAGGAGGAGGGAGGAGGAGGAGGAGGAGGAGGAGGAGGAGGAGGAGGAGGAGGAGGAGGAGGAGGAGGACGGGTCGCCTAAGCCCTTCGGAGAAACCGTCCAGCTGCCAGGCCTCGCACTGGCGACCTGAAGAGCCGAAGCTGCATGGACGAGCCGACGCTGAAAGGAACCTCTGTCGAGCCCGCCATTGCCGGAAAAAATTCGCCTCGCCCAGCAGGCCTGGGTCGGATCTCAGAGCAAGGACGATTAAGATTTGAGCGCCAGTCGCGTGCAGGCGAGCGGGTTTTTGGACGCTCGGCCTGCTTCTGGCCAAAACGGAGTGGAGAGGGCGGGCCGACACTCCCTGGCAGAGTGGATATATAATACCTTACTCTGCCTTTAAAAGAGGGGGTTGACACAGACCTCTAGCACCAGCATCGTCGTCATCAATAGCATGAAAAACGCCCTTGATTGAAACCTGCTGAGATCACTTCGCAGGTGCGCGCGGCACACTGTGCGAAACAGCTAGTCGAGATCTCCGAGCTAACATCTGGCAGAACGTCCGCTGATTTTAGCGAAACCGACGGGAGACTGTGCTGGCACACTGCGAATGTCGATGCCGAGTGAACCAGCGCAAATTTAGAGGAATCAAAACCATTCGTGGGCATGAGCTCTCGGAAGACCGCGCGGCTGAGTAGCCACTGGACGACCCCTCCCGTGGCGCGCGAAAGGGCGCCACGTCGGCAGGGGCCGGGAGAGAGACCCATCGGGACTAACGGGTTGAAGCAGAAGTCTCTTAGTCACTAAGAGACTTCTGCTTCAACTCGTGGGAGCCTCCCGCGTCATCTTGCTGGCTCTCGCGAATCGACGCCAACCGACGCTGATCGACGCCAGTCGACTCTGAATCGGCGCCAACCGACACCGAAAGGGCGAACTTCGCATCGATTACGAGACGCTAGAGCGCGCTGGTGCACTCCGAGGACGGAATCTGGAGGCCACACCAGGCTCCCATGAGCTGCTACACGAAGAGAAGGACAGGGACAGGGCAGCAGGGCAGTCAAGCAGGCAGCGCGCCGCTTCTGGCACGGCACAGCTTCTCGAAGGTCGGCCTGACCAGGTCGTCCAGCTCGCCCTTGCGGCGCCCCTCCTGCGCAGAGGGGCTTCCGCGCGCCGCTTCTGGCGCGACGCAGGCGTGACCCTCTGGGCAGCAGTGGACCATCGGTGCACGGCTTCAGGGGGGCCGCAGGGGAGCAGAGTCCGAGCGCGCGAGCCAGCGCTGGGAGGACCCCCCGTGGGCCCGCATCTGAGCTCACACCGGCAGCGGGTCACTCTTGCGCGTGGCCGATGCCCGGCAGGGGTCCTCCTGGGCCCCGTTAGGGTGCATAGGGTGCGCCCTCCTGGCCGAGGCCGGGAGGGTCTATGCACCATCCTGGAGCTCAGGACTGCCCAGGCCAGGCATGGCGGTGTGCAGATGCCTTCTGCGAACGTCCTTCTCCAGCGCTAACACCAAAGTGGCCACCTGGGCGACGAGCAGAGAGGAGCCTCACGCGAGACGACGCGGCGGCCTTACGCAGCGGCTTGCTCGGGCCGCCAGCGCCGCACACCGCGTGGAAGCGCGGGCGGCCTCCGCGCGAATGCCCCGGCAGCTGACTCTGTTTCGTTGCGCCGCTGACCTGATTGTCCAGCCGCCTGAGGTCGTAGCTGATCTCGGCCATCTCCATGCTGGTAGCCTGGCCCTTCAGTTTCTCGCATCCCCTCAGGAAGTCGTCCAGTTTGATGGCCCCGTCGTTCGTGGCATCTATAAGCTTGAACAGCGTGGCCGCGTCGCGGAAGTCGATCTGGAGGGCCTGGAAGTAGGCCTTCATCAGGTCGTCATCGGCGATCAGTTCGAGCTCGTCCATGGTTATCAGACCCGAGTCGTCGTCGTCGATGGCCCCGAAGAGCTGCTGCAGCTTTTCCGCGCAAGCTCGCCTGTTGTCGATGATAGACTTGGCGACCAGGTCTGGATTTCGCTGGGTTGTCTCTACGGCCGAACTGCAGAACACACCTGCGAGGCCCACAAATCCGCTAACTCCCGCTATGCCGTTTGAATAAGTTAAGGGGGCGGGGACGGCGGGGTCCACGAGCTCCCCAGCGCATCTCCCGGGCTCTCCGAGCATTCGAGTCCTCTCTTGGACGCCGCCAAGATCCCCAGGATGCCCTCCAAGACGGCTGCAGAACGGCTCCTACATTGCCAAGAAGCCCCCAGACGGCTCCAAGTGCCCACCGAGCCTCTAATGAAAGCCCCAAAAGGCACAAACTCGTCAGAAAATCCAATCATCTCGCCGTTGCGCTTCCGATGGGCTCCTGAAGCGTAGCGCTCCAAGACAGCTCCGAAGGCCCCAAAGAGTGCTTCAACAGCGTCCCAGAAGAGACCGAGAAGCAAGTGATCTGGTTCCAAGCGGGGGCCCCAGCGGCCTCCAAGTGGGCCCCCCAAAAAAGACCCACGAAAGCCTCGAAGGCTCATAAACAGACCCCAAAAAGATCTCCAAGAGGTCTCAAAGAGGCCTCCAAAAAGTCTCTCCGAGGTCTCTACAGTTAGCAGTGCTTGCCTTTTTGTTCCAAATGGGCTGCTGGGGATACAGGAAGCGCAAATAAATACATTTGCTCATCCACCCTGCGGAAGTCGACGGGATGGCGCACGTATGCCTCTTGGCTATACACCGCCACCGGAAGCCCGTGGAAATCTTCCTTCGACTCGAAGATTTCTATGTGCATCTCAGCTCCTGGCAATTCCGTCCGTGAGAGTGTCTGAGCGAAAGAATATCGGCCTATAGCAGCGCTCCCTGGCGGTTCACCCCTGGAACTCCCAAACGCTATGCCTGCTACATCGGATCCCGGGACTCCGAACGGAGAGGGTTCGGGGTGCCTAAACCATGAGAGGCAACGATAGGGGGAGGGACTGGCACAGGGGGGGAATCATCGACCTGAAATCGGCGATACTTCGCCGATAGATCTGCGAGAGGATTCCGATAGTGAACCCGCACATTCCTGGGCAGGCTGGGGCTATGGGGCCCCCATTGGCGATCAATGGGCGATTGGGGGTCGATGCATCCCCCCCATGCATGTCCCCCCCCTATCGTTGCCCCCGAAACCAGCGCTTCATCTGAGAGGTCCCACGATCTGGGTACGAAAAGAACAGTGTAACGTAACGCCCCCATGGCGGCTCCCCGTCGGGGTAAGCAACTACTGTGCCTACTACATCGCAGTGGTCATGAGAGTCTGAACGGAGAGGGGTCGGGGGTGCCATAACTAGCGAACTGCTCGATACACCCCTACAATATCAATGCGAACGGGCAAATGCAACATCCCTTGACGTCTCTTCCTTGGGTGAGCGCGAAAAGGCAAATGTCCTACCCCCTCTGCCGGTTCCCCCGTGGGTGCTCACATGGAACGCCTGCGATATCGATGTTATCATGAGGCTCCGAAAAAAGGAGTCGGGGCCGCCAAACGAGCGAACCACTCGACACATCCCCACAATCTAGGCGCGAACGGGCAAGTATCCTACCCCCTGGCGGCTCCTCCACGGGGTGCTCACAGGGTGTGCCTGCCCACATCGAGGTGACCATGATGCTTCCATAAGGCAGGAGTCAGGGCCGCCAAACACGTAATCCGTTCGAGGCGTCCCAAAAAACTAAAATGCGAATGTCCTGCCCCTGACGGCTCCTCCCTGGGGCGCTCAGATGAGACGCCTGCCATACCGCGACAATCATGAAGCTCTCGAAAGAGAAGGACCTGCGGGGACAATTACGCAAACCGTCCGAAGACATCTCCACAATCTGGGCGCGAACGAGTTACCTACCCCCTGGCGGCTCCTCCTTGGGCTCCCAAAAAAAATCCAAGCCTGCTACATCGCGATGAGATTGTGGCCCTGAAAAAATGATTAACCGAGCAGACAAACCACCTGATACATCCTACGATCTGGGCACGAACGGGCAGATGTCGTATCCCCTGCCAGCTCTTCTTTGTTGTGCTCAAGTGCCACGCCTGCTACATCGCGATGGGCATTGGGCTTTGACGAAAAAAAACCTGGTCAATCAAACATTCGAAACGCCTGAGACATCCCCACAATCTGGGCGCGAACGGGCAAATGTCATACCACCTGGCAACTCATCCTTGGGGTCCTCGAACGCCAAGCCTTCTACATCGCGATCAACAACGGGCTCTGAAACGAGAGAGGTTTGATCTACCCAACAGCAATCTGGACACGAACGGGCAAATGTCCTTTCCCACGGCGGCTCCCACTTGGGCTGCTCAACTGCACCGTGTACTACATCGCGATGCGCATGGGGGTCTGAGAAGAAATAAATACCAAACAAGCAGACAACCGCCTGACACACGCCCACGATCTAGGCACAAACGGGCACACGTCCTATCCCCTGGCGGCTCTTCCATGTTGTGCTCAAGTGCCGCGCCTGCTACATCGCGATGGGCATTGGGCTTTAGATGTAGCAGAAAAATGATCAACGAACCAGGCAAAACGCCTGAGACATCCCCAAAATCTGGGCGCGAACGGGCAAATGTCATACCGCCTGGCAACTCATCCTTTGGACCCGCGAACGCCAAGCCTGCCACATGGCGATGAGCCATGGGCTCTGACAACAGACACAGTCGACCAATCAAACAGCAATCTGGACGCGAACGGGCAAATGTCATTTCCCCTGGCGGCTCCCCCTTGGGCTACTCAAATGCACCGTGTTCTACATCGCGATGGGCATCATGATCTGACAAGACAGAAATCTGAGTAACCTAACAGACAGACAAACCGCCTCACACATCCCCAGTCTCTGGGCGCGAACGGGCAAATGTCCTACCGCCTGGCGGCTCTGCCACGTCGAGTGTGCGCTAGTCTGAGCGTAAATGAGTTATCAGTGGAGTCTGACCACATGTCTGAGTGTCAGTGAATCTGAATGTGAGTGCATCTGAGTGTGAGTGTGAGTGAGTGCGAGCATGAATGTTCTGAGTGTGACGAAGGGAGACAGAAGCGGGAGGTGAGGAAGTGGAAGCGTCCTAACAATATGAAGAACCCATACGCGTGAATAGGGGGAACAAAAAAAAGGTACAAACACGCGCAAGACCACTCCGACCAAGGATTCCACTGCCGTGCCTGTGCCGAACGCGGGCAATCTTCTCTTCTGAAAATGATAGTGGCCGCATTTGGTCGACAATCCGTGTCGCCGTTCTGTCTATTGCAGTCTGGTGGTGGTGTGCAATACAAGCTGAAGCCCCCAAAAAGAATGTTTCAAAACAGCCCGAAAATACACAATCTAAGCGTGATATTGTTTATGCATACGCACACCTCAGTGATATTGCGCAGACGGCATGATGTAACAAATTGTCCGACCTACCGCCGAAGCAATCACCCGATCAAGTTTCACGGCGGGAAAACCCCGCAGTAGTGATGCGATGTCGATGTGACTATATACATTTGCATACATTTATGTGTTGATGTAGGCTGCGGACCAGTGACAACGTTCAAAACGGCGAAGTACACGAACGCGATGTACGTTGTGAAGAGGGAAACCGGGAGAATCGAGATGCCCTCCAATGGGGTTGCCGGTTCCCTCCAGCTAACGCCGCCAGAGATCGCCTGGAAGAGCGTGTACATGCTCACGTCCAAAGACCCCCATTCTCCTAGCAGCTTATCCTCTTCGACCTGGCCGAGGCCATCCGACATCTCGACGAAGTACAACGCCTCTCCTGTGAACGCGAGGCCGAACACGTAGATGATCATCAGAATTAGCACCATGGCCCACAACAACGACTTCATTGTCGCCAAGATCGAATACACCAGCGTGCGGAGCGCCGCGATGAAGCGGATGAGACGGTGCAGGCGGAAGGCGCGCGTGAGCCGGACCAACCGGGCGAGCCGCACGTTCCGGAACACCGCGGCCCCCGGCAGCTCCTCATCCTTCGAATAATTGATCGACTACAGAATCGATTTGTCCTAGAATTTGATGTGCTCGCCGAATCTAGAAAAATGCATCGAATTCTCGTCGATCTACGAACCTGAAACGTACTTGTTGGTACACTCGACGAAAGGCTCAATTGTGAGAGCTATCGATTTTGTAGTCGATCCCCTACTCGGGTCCCGGTCAGCAGCAATAGAAACCAGGTCCATTGCCATCTCGAGCAGTCCCATGAGCACCACCAGCGTGTCCGTCCACGCCCAGAATACCTCTCCCCGAAGGTAGAAGTTCGCGAGGCCGAGCTTGCATACGCGCGCCATCAGCTCCACCAGGAAGAGAAAGGTGTATGCGTGGCGCACAATCATGAAGACGGCCGGGAGTTCCTCGCCGAGGTGGCTGCTCCGATACTGGACTTCCACGCCGCTCACGAGAGCGTTGGTGCCGATCACGACCCCGAAGAAGAACTCGAACGTCTGGCCCATGGCCTCGTTTTGGAGGCGGTCGGGGGGTCTGAAGTGGTTTCGGCGGCGAACGAAAGGGGGGAGTGAGAAGGAGAAGGCGCTAAGTCCCCTAGCCTTTTGAGAAGCTGTTTACGCCTTCCCCGAAGACCCCCAAAAAAAAATCTGAAGGCGCGAGGGTTTCTGAGAAGTCCCGCCGCCTTCTGAAAAGGCCTCCTCGTTTTCATTTCCCCTCCTCGCTCGCCACCGATGGTTGGGACCCCAGAGAATCGGCCAGGAGGGGGGATGGAACCACATCCGCTCAGAATCGGTCCCCGGACTCCCTCCCAGGGTCCATTGAACACAGTTTTTCACGCCAGAGCCGTTCGACACAGTCGCGGGTTCCGAAGACGGCCCGGGAAGCCCGAGGATGACAAGAAACCTCGCCGAACCCAGCATGAGTGATCTGGCGGTCGATGCTGTTTGCTCGGCGGCAAGCCGCGATGCCAAAGGCTGAGCGGTGCACTGGGGTTTGGGGAAGAAAAGGCAGCAGAGGGCAGGCAACATGGCACGTAATAAATATAGATGTCACCACTGCCCTCGCATTCGCACTGATCCTAAATCTTCGTTCCCAAAAGCTGGGGAAAACTCGCACGGGCACTGAAGCACATACACGCCTATAAACTAAGGAACGTCGTCAGGCAGCCAAAAAGAAATATCACGAGATGGAGGCTTGCACGGCGCGCAAACACTTTTCATCGGATGCAAGAAGCACTTCACTGGTCATCGTCGGGACCAAGCAAATTGCGTGGGATGCGCAGCATCCCTGGAACCAGTCGGTTAAACTGGTAAATCCAGCGGCTTAATCAAAAAATCGGCCAACAAATACGCCGTGGGGGGCCCAGCGCATCGGCACATCCACGACATGTATACTCTCACGTGGGCCCACTGCTGCCCCCAACTGCATCGCCTCTCGCAACAAGGTCAAGTCCATGATCAGTCGCTCCTCCTGCGGTAGTTTACCCGAATCCCAGCGCAAGGTGTCGCGGAGGGACTTGCACTCGGCCACGCAAGTGATCGGCAGCATGCGCACGCCGGCAAGCATCTCGCGATTGGCCACGCCCAAATCCGCGCACATCACCTCGACGATCACAACGCGCACGAACAGAGCTGAATCGAAAGCCTCCGTGCAGCTCTGCGTCTCGGCGGCGAAGGTGCCCCTCGCCACTCGCGGCGGCGCGCGGCGCCTCCAGCCAACGAGGATCGCCTTGCCTGGGCGACCTTCTGCCACAGCACGCTCACACGGGCGAACAAAGCACCGCGCCTTCGAGTGGACCTCCCCCCCTCAAGCGATCCGCCGCAGGGCCTCGCCCTCCGCAAGCGCGCCCCCCCGAGCAGCGTCGCGGTAGATGATCGGGCGCCGCGGGAACTCCGGGCCCAGCTTGCGCGCGCGGATTTTCTCGCCAGCTGAACTTTGCAGGGCTGCAGTAGCCATGTCGGGGCCCAACAGGTCCTGGATTCAAGGAGCGTTCTGCTTGCGCTGTGCCATTAATACGGCACATGAAAGGTTGGGTCTCGTCTCTCGCGCTGGCCACCCAAGACCCCCAACTGCACTCTGGTTGTCCGCGATCTCGCGGGCGTTGCACTCCAGGCTCGGGTCGCGCTTCCGAGCCTCATCGATCTCGACCCGCTCGAGCCTGCCCGCGATGAAAATCGATCGGTCGAGCTGGACGCCCCTCTCCGGGCCCAGGCATCAGCTTCCCACATAACATCACTGGGACATGCCGCCACTCGCCGAAGTCGAAGAGACCTCGAACTCCTCGACGTAGGGCCTGGGACTTCGCGGCCACGTGGAGGTCGCCCGCGCGCACGCAGACCGGGACACACAGCCCCCCATCCTCGTCGAAGCCGTGGAACACTGTCGGGTCGAGCTGGGGCTGCATCACGATGACGGGGATGCCGTTCTTGTCGTTCGTCTCTGCCTCGACAAGCCCCCGGGTCACGCCTTCGGCTTGGGCGGCGCGCCCACGACTCCAGCGATCTCGCTCCAGTAGGGGAACTTCGACGCCAGGATGCGGCTGCGATGGACTCGCCGACGCACCTTCTGGTTCTCCTCGATCGAGAGGGGCTCGACGCCGTCGCGGCTCTCCCACTGCTTCCACTGCCAGCGCGCCGCCCATCAGCAGAGGCGGCGTTCCCCGGTTGGGAACTGGCCGTTCAGGATGACCCCTGGGATGCAGAAGCGGCCCGACGGGGAATGGGCGGCACACCTTGCCCTGACGGGCTTGCAGAACCGCCCGTCGCCTCTGCCACTCCCCTCGATCGCGGGGGGGCCCTTGTTCTGTAAGTGGCGTCTGGGCCCACCCTGACGCCGACGCCGATGTCGGAGGCTCCGACTGGGCCGAGGACGATGGCCCCGACGGCGCAGCAGCCTCCTGCCGCTTGCGAGGCGGCTCCTCCTCTGGGCGCTCAGCCTCTGCAGCAGGGCGCTTCTCCTTGGCGCCCGGAGGCCGGGGCGGATCGCCCTCCTCGACGCGGCGCAACTTCTCCTCCAGCTCGCCAGCTCGCTCCTGGAGGATGCCCCACAGGTTCTGGCCTTCCCTCCGCTGTAGAGGTCGGGCTTGTTCTTCTGCCCCACGTGGCCCACGTCCTCGGTCGCCCTCGAACTCGGGCTGCACTCCTTCTCGACCTGGCGGATCAGCTCGTCCAGCTCCTCGACACTAAAATTCTCGCCCTGCCCAGGCCACGAGATCCCCTCCTCCTCAGCGCGTTCTGGAAGGGCAAAGTTCTAACCGCAACCCTGGGGCAGGGTAACCTGCCACAGGAGCACCCCCGCGCCAGGCCCTCGAGGCATCTCGGAGGACCTCAAGCGCCCACTGCCCCATGGTGCCCGAGCAATCCAATCGGAGCAATACCAACCTTTAACACCTAGCAGCCTCAGACTTTAAAATTTAGCAGCGGCGGTAACACAGCTAATTGTTAACAAGCCATACACATCCGTAAGTGCATGGGGGGGAAGGCGGCAAGCGCGAAGCGCGATTCACAGATCCAGCGGCACGCGAAGCGTGGCAAATAATATTCCGCAAACGCATGGCTCCCCGACGCAATCTTCTCAAACCAAAGGGGAAATGGAGAGAGGGCCGGGGCCGAGGGGAGGGGGGAAATGACGAGGAAGGAACGAGGATAAACAGGATTATGAAGATCATGCTGACGGGGAGGGCGGGGTCCAGGAGACAACGACGAGGAGGAAGACGAGGGGGGAAGCATGAAGAGGACGATGGGAGGCCAATGAGAAGAAGGAGGGCGGTACGGAGGAGGACGCTTCTAAGAGTGAGGTGTATGCATGTTTCACTATCTTTGTCAAGCACCCCTCTGTCCAACTGCTCCCCCGATCGCGCCAACTCACGGCGGCGCACGAACAGCGGCGCAGACGTGCGCGCGAAGGCCCCCCCACGGCCCACTGACGCAAGTGCTTTTCAACAAAGCCTACGACCTAACACAACTCACATCGACATGCACGCAGTCGGCGTCGACCGCATCACCGAGACGAGGTCCTGGAATCAGAAGGTCTTGGAGAACCAAACTTGCTTGTGTGTGTTTCGACATGCGTGTGATTACTCAACTACTCAAGCTGCCACTTGGGTCTGAAATTGACAAGCGTGCACAGCAACTGCACACTAAATTATTTGGAATTCGAATGCACACCTAGACAACTCCAGGACGTGCAGCGTGCTGGGACATGTTTTAGTTCGCCTATGCTATGGTAGTTAGGTGTTTCACGCACTGCTGTCCCAGCCACGCGCACCGTTTCAATGTGGGAGGGCACCGTCCCCATCAGCTGCGAAGAGGCCGACGATGGGGCAGTCTGTAATCTACCCGACGTTGATCTGGTAAAAAAACGCCCAGAGATCCCGCAAACAATTGATCGCAGCACCACGCTGGCCATAAATCTGCCAAGAGTAGCTCTTCCTAGGGAACGGGGGAAGGTGGCACATCCAAGCGCGACTGTAAGTGGACCTCCATATATGCCCACCGTTGGGGCACAATCCCCTTCAGCTGATGCTGCCCCGGCACGCCTTCAGGAAGTGGGCCAGCAGGCCCACCGCCACCACCACCACCAGCGCCACCAGCGGCGGCCCCCCCGCGGCCAGCACCCTTGCCTCTGCCCCTGCCCTTGCCCTTCGCCTTAGCTTTGGGCTCGGGTCTGACCTTCTCGCGCATATTGGCGTACTCCTTGATGTAGTCAGTCAAGACCTCCTTCGAACATTCGCTTCTCTTCCTGGTCTCCTGCAGCTTGCCGGAGTTGCCCCTGTCCAAGCAGACGAGCTGGTCCTCGAAGTCCAAGAGGTCATCGATGGAGTCACATACTCTGGAGTGCATCTTCGTGAGCCTCTTAGCCAGGACATCGAGAATATCACTCTCCGAAATAGCGTTCAAGATATTGTTGATCAGGGCGACCAGGGCGCCGAAGAGGCCAGCGCCTGGATCCACCCCGACCCGAAGGTGAGCCGCCAGCCTCTGCAACAAAGGCAGTCTCACGCTATTGAACGCAACTCTGGCCAGCGCCTTGAGAGCGTGCTCGAAGCTGCGGCCGTCGACCTTGCGGAGTCCAATGCGTCCAAGGTCGGTTGCGCCAGCATCGCCGCCGAAGCCGCAGCTCCTGCGCAAAGTCAATGGTGATTGCACCGTGATGCAACAGCCCTCCCAATCATCAAGGCTGACGACGGCCTGGTACAAGTCTAGACGATCAGCAGGTCGCACGGGTGCAAAAACTGCGCCCCCATTCGGGATGGCCACCTCCTTAAAGGGGAACATGACCACGACAGAGTCGGGCATGCACCCGCACGGGAGCATTGGCACCGAGGCCGCGTCACCTGCTTGCTTCTTCCTTGCCATGACCGCCACGCAGTCGCGCATGAGGCCGCCGAGCCAACGGTGCTGCATCATGTTCATCTTTCCCGACCGAAGGGCGAAGTCGATGAGAACTAAATCGCCGCAAGACACAGACCACGCATCGCTCCTAGGAGACGGCCAGGAGGTCTTCTGCTTGTACGAGATGATATTGTGAAGCTCCTTCGGCGTATCCTTGGCCTTGGTCTTGAAACAGCCCTCTGGCACAGACATGTCCCTGGCCACCGGTTGAAACGAAGGCTGTACTTCAATAAATTTGTGGCGAGTCGAAAGAACCTTGGATTTCACCAGTCCTCTCCAGGCTCGCTGGACGCTGCCTTGGCGGTTCTTGTATTTCGGCATATTCTTCTGCACGTTGAACGCGTCCTCGTCGACCTGGCTCGCGAGAAGTTTGGTGTGTATTTGCCTTGAGAAGTCCGCGACGTCCTGAGTGATGGTGAAGTCGGCCTCCTTCAACACCCTGTACACCTGCTCCTCGGACACGCGCTTGAAGACGTGGCGGTCGACGACGGCCTGGAGGTCGGGCGCGCGCTCCACGACGTCGAGGCACTCGTCGTACTGGCCGCGGCACCTGCGGATATCAGCGACAGCGTCCTTGGCGTCGTCGCCACCGCGCGTCAACAGCGCGGACCTTGAAGAAGGTCCCAACAAAAGCCACCCCATCCTCATCGAGCGATAGTACGTGGTGCCCATGTTCAAGTGGAAGAGGGTGAAGGCCAAGTAGTCCTCGCCCTCGTCGCAATCCTCAGGGTCAAAGGAATTCAGCTCGGCCACGGTCGTCGGGGCGTGGAAGCCGCTCTCCTTCAGCACTCGCTCATTGCAAAGGTCGGCCCAACCCGCAAACATGGTATCGATGAAGTTTGAGCGGAGCTCACTCACGATCCAGTCCGCAGAAGCGAAGCAAGACCTCAGCTCAGTGATCTGCTTGCTGCGCCACTTGTCCCAATGCAGAGTGCCCTGGCATATGATGCGGTCCTTGCGCTTGCAAGACGGGTCGAGCATGCTGATGCCAGCGATGGCCATCTGATTGAGGCAAGCCCTAGCGAAGTAGCTCGACGTTGTCCGTGTTCTTCTTAACGTTGGTCGTCTTCTCGTCGGCAGGCGCGCCCAGTCTCTTCGAGGCAGCCTTGCTGCTCAGCAGGTCGAGCTCGAGGCACGCGGTGAGGACGCATAACCTCTTGACATTGTAATCGTTAAGCTCCTTCCTGATGCGGCGAATGATTTCCATGAACCTGCCCACGACAGCTTTGCCTCCACGTTTTACCAAGGGGTTGCTCTCTGGAATAGCGTCCCACAGTAGCTGACCGCAGCCCTCATCACCACGGATGTCTTTCGCCGACGGGTCCGCCAACATGTCGTTCATCATCTCCTGGAACAGTACGTTCTTGTCAGGGGAGCTGGTCTCAAACGTGTCCTGGAAGCATTGCTGCATGCGCTTGAAATGGGTGTCTTCCGACCAGGGCCCGTTCACGAAGTTGATGCGGATGACGTCGGACAGCAAATGATCGAACAACCCAGCGAATTTGAGGCTGTTGTACATGTCGCCGTGAACCCCGTGCGAGGGGTCAGGGGTCACGTCGACGCAGCCTCCGCTGCATCATTCAGAAGTGAACTGGCTACGCCGACCAGCCCGAACAACGCAAACACATGCCGTCGTTTCGCCCACCAGGGTGAGGGGGTGATGCTAGGCATGGTACTAGCTTAGGTGTGCGTTTTTGTTGCGTGAGGTGCCCCATCCCCTTCCCCCGTCCCCTTGCCCAATCACCCCTAACGACGGCTTGCGTTTAGTTGCTCAACGTGCGGCTCGAACAATGCAGCGGGCCTCGCAACTGGTGAATCCAGAAGCTCAGGGCGCTAACTCCGCCCGGTCCGAGGTCGCAGGCGGCCGAGATCCTGGGCCGCTTCAGCGCTGGCTCGCGCGTGGAGATGCCCTCTGGCTGGCTGTATGTCCGCAGGCCGCCGTCGACGCCGAATGACTTGACCTGGTTGTCGAGAGCAGCGAGCCACTGGAAGGCTGACTTGCGGTGAACTTTCTTCGGCTTGAACGTGGCGGACTCGTCTAGTTTCCTCTTCAACCAGGCGCGCTGCCGATCCCTCTGGGCGGGCGCTGCGTCGCCGCCAGCGTCAGACAGGACGCTCGCCATGGTGCTGTGGCCTGTGTAGGGCGATGTCCTCAAGGAGCTGGGTGCACTGGCTTGTGCTAGCCCCCCCCCCCTAAAGAAGCTCCCCTCCCCCCCCTCCCCCCCATCCTCATCCCCCCCCTCCCTCCTCCTCCCCCCCCCCCCCTCCCCCCCCTCCTCCTCCCCCTCCTCCTCCTCCTCCTCCTCATCCCCCTCCCCTCCTCCTCCTCCTCCCACCCCCCCCCCCCCCGTCCACCTCGGTGCAGCCAGCGAGACCTATAAGAAAATTCCCTATGGGAGCTGCGGGGAACCCCCGAGGGCTGGGCGGTTACAACCATTTGATGGCATGGTCAAGTGCATACCATCAAACGGTTGCAACCGCCCAGCCCTCGGACCTCCCCCACCCCCAAACGCTTGGGGAGCGGAGGAAGCACATAGGCAGCAGACACGTTGATCGCCCCGTTGGTCCTGCGTGGGGGCCCACCAGGCGACCCCATCTGGCGTCGCGAAGGCGTGTTCTGCAGCCCCACGCCCCTCACGCGAGACTTGTCGGTGGCGAAACTCAAAAACTGCACGCCGCATTGATCTACGTGGGCCTTGCAACCGAGCAAATACAATGCATTCTCATGGCCGACTTGAGCTTCCGAGGTGTTGCAGTCGTCTGGGCTCGAGGCGTCGAAGTCGTCGAACCGCTCGTCGTGGTCCAAGCTCGTGCTGATGGCACCCTCGACGTACTCACCTACTCTCCAGCAGATATGGGAGCACGTGCTCATGCAGTGGACCGACGGCGCGATGGCCTCCAAGAACGTCATGATGTGGATGTCCTGGCCGTTAATATTCCCCTTCTCCAAATACGAGCACAAGCGGACAGCCTCGACGCCGTCGGCCCTCATGCGGCTCTTCTGGAAGATGCTCAAGTCGAGGCTACTGCTGTCTATCTTCACGTAGAACGGGCCTCTGTCGCCAAGGATCTGACCGAAGGGGATTCGCCTGACGTTCTTGAAGTAGAGCGGTATCGTAGATCTCCCACGCATCGCTATCTTCAGCATTGTCCCGATGATCAGCTTGGCAGAGGCCTGGTCCTTCTCCTGCGAAAAGCCACCCTGCTGCTGCGAACAAAATGCCCAGCGACAACACATCGCAAACAAGGCCTCTGTCGAGACAGACGGCCACTTCAATACTCTCGTAGGGTCGCCCCCATGCTTCTTCCTGCCGGGCTCAGTCTGCACTGACTTCTCGACGCTCGTGATGCCGAGCTTCTTCAAACATTTTCCCCATGAAGGCCAGTACCTCGCTGCCCAGACACTGCCGCTGGCAGTAGTTCGACCCAAGTCCAGCAGATTGAGCACGTCATTCACTACGAACGACAAGTTGGCGAACTTACGTTTAACTCCAAGCCGAAAAAAACAACAAGTGTGATTAGTGCACCTCCGACACCTGTCTTCATCCGAACGACGTGGGAGGTGTGGCGCGACGCGGCTTCTGATAATGAGTATATCCCGAAGTAATCGTTGGCTTCCTTACATATCAATACTTTGGCATTGGTTGCCTTGGTCGTGTACTCGAGCGAAGTGAATCCAAGCGTATGGTTGACTTCCCAGGCGTGCCCATCACCGTCGACGCTCTCGGGCAGCACCTCGAATATAATCGCGGGGGCGCCGTCCAACCCAAACTCGACGTCGAAGGTGCTGAGGTTACGAGTCCGCTCCAACTTCACCCATTCGCACGTCGTCGAGAGGGCAACGAACCATCGGCCCCCGACGCGATCCCGAAACACGTTGAGCGCCCCCTCCAAGGCGCTGAGCTCGTAGTCTGTCCACTTGAGGCCCTGAGGTGGGTGCGTGGCGTCGCTCGTAGTCGTGGCTGGCGCGACGTCGTCGGGGGGCGGGTCAGCAGGAGGTGGAAGCGGTGGCGCCACTGGTACTGGCACAAGTGCGAGTTGAAGGTGATCGAAATCAAGGACGCCTGGTGGAGCAGCATCTCCAGACCCAGCAGCCTCGCCCATGTGGAAGGGCTTCTCATCGTCGGGCAAGTCGGTCCACTCGTTGCACTGCATCAACGCCAGCTCCATCTCCTCGATCGTGAACTGCACCCCCTTGATGTTGAGGGCCTGTCCTTTCTCAATGCGCGCGAGAAGGCGATCCTTGTCAGCGGGGTGCTTCTTGAGGCAAGACACGAGCTCCGCCACCCGAAACTCTGGTGTTGTTACTGGCGGCGGCATCGGCACGCTGGTATCTGTGCGCCGTGCGAAATGAACTTGCACAAATAGCTTGGGCCAAAACGGCTACGATGGGAGTGGGATCGATGGCCGTTGGTATTCACATGGGGACGTATCTGATCAACACGGGGGCCCGAGGCAGATGCCCCCTTCCCCGCCAGGAAGGCGAACGGCATAACCACGAGCAGAGGTGACCACCAAGGGCTTTTGTTCAGTCCCTTGCCCATCGGCCCCGAAAGGACCCCAACGAGCCCCCAAGCCAACCTGCGATACGCCTGCCTACAGGTAACCCCGGCGCCCCTGCAGCCTTGCACACATGGCATTCTGGGTTTACTACATCACTACGTAACTACACGATTACGCCCATCTGATTCGCTACGTCCCCAAGCGCTGTGACAGATAACCCGTCCTTCCTCCTCATCACCCCCCCAGCCGCCCCACCCCCCCCCCGTTCCCCAACTCCCCGCGCTGCCCCGCCACGCCCCCGCACCTACCCCCGCAAAAAGGTGTCTGAATGACCAGACCCCCAAATCCTCTCCTCCATATCCTTCCTCCCACCTCCCGTCCGACCCCCCAGCCTCCACACGCACTGCTTACCCCTGGCTGCGCCACGCTGCGTATCGACGCAGCGATACGGAGTAGGAGAATAATGACGAGGAGTAGGAGTAGGACGACGGAGAGATGGAGAAGGAGTAGGAGGAGGACGAGGAGGCGACGGAGAGGTGGATCAGGAGTGGGAGGACGACTACACGATTGCTAGAGATGGACAACACATGTTCTCGAGAGTGGATGGCGGGACCCAGAAGCTCTAGCCACTCTGAGTGTTCAGCACGAGCTCAACATCTATACAGAACTGTCGCGCTGCAGCGTAAAGCTTACCGTATCGCTATGACCTAGCTGTGGCGCGAGCTGCTCGCGACGGCAGTCCAGCCGACGAGACAATGGAGGAAGTGAACGATCGCGCTGTGCACCAGCGCAGTGCGAGGGCCATGGCGCGGAGAAGGCCGAGCGAGGGCGCGCGCTGGAACAGCCTAGAGCTCACAAGCCTAGAGCTACAGCGCGCTGCACCGTCGAGCTCACAGCCTAGAGCTACACAACATAGCCAACGCAACAAAGCTGGCTGCTACAACTGCGTGCCCGACCTCACGATGGAGTATCACCCTTTTTGTCATATGACAGCATGCGGATGGACTCGGACGACTTGGTGGCGAGGCGCTTCCTCGCCTTCTGCCGGGCCTCCTCCCTCCTGCGCTTCTCGCGGGTGTCCAAACTCACGAGAGATGGCCCTTTCGTGAGCGCCATAACTTGTTGCTGCCTGGCCGTGATCTCGGCAGCAGCACCAGTGTACAGGTCGGTCAGCATCTTGCCCTTCTTGTCGATGCGATACTTGTTCGGCCCATGCTGGAGAGAGAACCAGTCCTTGCAAGGATACCTGACCTTTTCGAGAACCCATCCAGCCTCCTCAGCGCAGAAGGGGTTGTCCAGCTTGTACTCGTATGTGATCCACACGCCCTTCGGAGGGGAGGCGGTGTCGCCGTTGATGAACCTCACGGACGCCAGGTACTCTTTTCCCCAAATGGGCGTATAGAGAGGACGGCGATCCCAATCGATAATGCCAGGATCGGGGTTCACGCAATCCTTGACCCAAGAACCGAAGTCGATGCCTATTTGAGCGTTCCTCCTAACGTTCGTTAGTGTCCAAGTGCTCATGTCTCCCATCTCGTCCGTAAATATGTCAGACGATTTGTATTGAAACGCAAATGCGAAGAGATCCTTGATCGCGCACGCATCGTTATCATCGATGAGATCAAGAAGGGCCTCCGATGGTCCATCCGGTAGCGCCGCCAGCTGCGCCGCTTTCACCTTAGGATGGACTTTGCCGACAGATTTCCCAGCCCAACTCAGATCAATTTTGTCAGGAGAGTCCGCAGAGCCCGAACCGCTACTATTCTTGGTCACGGTTTTGCCCACGAGGCCGCTCTCGATCCGGCCCCACAACTCTGGTGCCTGCTGTGGGTTCTTCATCATATAGTCGATCACGCGGATGGTGGCGTTTCGAAACCTGACCCTCGAGTTCGTCTCATTGTTGTCCCTTATCGGCTTCATCTTGGGAACCGACAAAGCAAATGTACAGAACGTCTCTCCAGCCTTAGTCTCGGCACCACGTGTCCAAAGGCCGCTCATGATATCAAGTGTTCAGAGAGACACGTGGCAAGCTGGACAAAAACACAAAAAGAAGCTTGAGCCAAAATGGTCACGGATACGATGGAAAGGAAGTGGCGGCACACCGCGAATTCCACGCCCCTCAATTATTCAATTCCTACATGGGGCATTTTGAGTAAAGGAAACGACCAGAGACGTCCGCCCCTTCTGGCACCAAAGACACATGTTTCTCGCAGACAAAGGATGACCAATACATCAGAGTATGTCATTGCGCTACGTAAAGTCAGCATGCGTTGGCATACGCTGGAATCGGAGGACTCGCGACGAACGGACGTTTGACCGTAGGGGAATGTACGAATACACACAAAATCATACTTGCTCCTTTTATTCATTCATGTTTGCAAATCGTGCTTCCGCCTTAAGAACAGTTACACTAAATAACCTATATCCCCTGAATATGCCACTATCGTATGAATATGACTGTTCTCGTTGTATGACTATTGTGGCGTGGCTATATGTGACTACTGCGTGCGCGTGTGGAGTCGGCGCTGGGGCCATGCGAATGGCCCCACGGTAATGGTTACATGTTTTCGTCCTGTGACGCGTCGGAGCTGCCCGTGAGAAAGTCGAACGGCCCCAGCCCCATGGGCCGCCCGCTGGGCCGATGACGACCGCCGGGCCTCGCCAACCCCGGAGCCTCGTCTCCTTGCGCAGCCGCCAGGAGAACACCAGGTCGCAGCTCTGGCAGCTGACATGCGCGACCCTCGGCATCCGCAAGAGCGCCCGACGGAGCGCTCGACTATTCTGCAACTCCACGAAGGTCGTCCGCGCAGCGGTGCGGTTAGCCATCCCCCAGGCGAGCTCGGTGTACACGCGATGCATGCCGCGCTCGGTTAGCTGGCAAGGCCTATCGATCAAGTCTTTTGACATCGCAGGCGAGCAGCCGCACGCCCACTGCGACGGTGAAAAGGCGCGAAAAATGCGCATGCCGTTCTTGGCCTGGCAAGTCTCCCAGACGGCGGTCTCCAGGTCGCTAAGGTCCGCGATCGACTCGTGCTCGACCACTCGGTTGACCATGAGCTTGAACCACCCTCTGCGTCGCTCTGCGCGGCCGTTCCGCCGCTGCGACTGCCCGGCCACGACCTTGACGCCCATGCCCACAATGTCCGTGGCCTCCTGGAAAGCGGCGTCGAACATGCCACCAGGGTCGAGCCTCACCACGCTTAGTGGCAACTGTAGCTGGTTTTCGATGATTGAAGTAGCGGGCGACGCGGTACGTCGCGGACGCCTCGACGATCGAAAGGAACAGGTAGGCCTCCCCGCGCGCGTTCCGCAGGCAGAGGCCTGGTGACAAGCGTGAGACTCGGTGCGAGCTCGACGCAGGCTTTGTCCGATTGCACGCGGCGCAGAGCAGGTGCTTGACCCCACGGACCAGAAAATGGCCCGCGCCGTTGAGCCTCAGGTTCCTGGCCAGGTCGTCGTTCGAGGGGCGCTCGAGGTTCTGGCGCAGGCATCGCAGCTGGGATCGAACTTCGAGGGGCTTCGAGGGGTAGCACTCCGGCCATATCCCCGAAGGTGATCGCCCAAGCTCCCATGGGTTCCTCCACGGGGGCCTCGTCGCTGCCGTGGCCTGGCGGGCCTGGTTCAGCACTTCCTCGAAGGCGTCGACGATGCGCCCGTTGAAGGTCCCGGTGCAGACCGGGCCCAAAAATCCCCCATGCTGTCAAAGCCTTTTTCAGCCCTGCGTGCTCGTGATCTTCTGGACACCGCAGGCCGCGGTGCTTTTCGAAGACCGCATGGGTCGCCACGATCCTCGCGGGCTTCTCGGCGCCTTTCCCGGCGCGAGGACACGTCGAGCCGCGAGCGCACATGTCGGTCTGGAACTCGACAACGCCCGGCAGCTACCTGAGCCTCCTCCACGGCCCCTTGTTCCACGACCGCCCCAGCCAAGGGCGCGCGCGCACCGCCGCGCGGCCGCCCCCGCACTGCAGCGCGAAGATCGCTTCCACGAGGTTCAAGGTCGGTACCTTTTTGAGCCCCGCCCGCCGCAGGCGCTGCTTGTCCCCCTGGAAGACGAGATTCTGCACGCGACTCCAGATCCTGCAGGGCGGCTCCAGCACCACGCAGTCTGGCCCCTGGCGCTTGACGAACTTTACCAGCTCCTCCTTGGCGGCTGGCTCCGCGAGGTCATCGCCACACCCCATGTCCCAGGGCTGACCTCATCGAGAACCTCGGCGAGCTGCTTCCCGAGATGCACCAGCCTTGCCGCCCCAGACCTCCGCGAAGTTGATCTCGGCGGTGCCGCCCTCGTCGACGGCGAGGCGCACCTCCTTAGACACGGACTCTGGCTCTGCAACCTTGGCGACACCACTCGCGAGGTTGAGGCCGGCTGACTCCCCGACGGTCACCGCGAGGCACATGGCGGGCAGCGCCCACGAAGCCGAGGCCCCGCGCAGCGCGCTGGGCACGCGCCCCTTCATCCCGCGGCGCACGTGCCGCTTCGCGTGGCCAACTGGAACCCGAGGTCGCGGTGGTGCATCAGCTCCTTGTCCTCGTCGCTCTCGCTCGCCGTCGGCTGGCTCGCCTCGCCCGTCTCGGTCTCGCTGTCCTCGTTGATATTTTCCAGGTCGGGGCCCCAGCCCCCCCCTCGACGGCGGCGCCGCCGTCGCCGCTGCCGCCCGACTCGTCGCCCTCCTAGCCCCGCCCAGGCGATCTTCTTTGTCGCCAAAGCCCATGCAAGATGATGTGCTCGGGGGACCGCGTTTCTTGACCATGGCCTGGAGCTCCCACTTCATGGGCGTCGCGTTCGGCGCGGCCTTCGGCGGCGGTCCGCTGCGCGG